ATAATATTTCAATTTATACAATTCCATTAGTTCTGGCGAACTGTTACTTATCATACGTTAAACGGACGTATATAAATTGGCATAATGATGTTTAACAAATCACGAGACTATATCTCCACGAAAATTTAATTCAATAACCCTTCCCCTCTTTCAAAAAAATGTTTTAATGTTGTAAAAAATATTATATTTTTATAAATTATGCTTATAGTATATGACTTAATATATTTTACACCGCAAATCGTTTATTTGTTGATTGATCAGTGTACTTGTATATAAATAGTAATATTATAGTTACGTTGCTGTTCCAGAAATAATAATGATTTTTAAACGCTATGGTTTTTTTTATAATGAATTGAAAACATGATTTTGTATGAATTCTATTTAGATAAAAAAACTGAATATAGTAATTCGTTGAAAAGGTCAAGAGTATTTTTCTTTTGTCTGCTCTTATCTCACACTGTTATTATTTATGATTGTTTTCAAATTGGATTTGTCTGTGTTTGTAAAAGTATAATTTAGTAAAATGATATAATAATAATATATTATTCCAATTTTATTCAAACGTTCGTTGCTTTTTATTACAAGAACGAGGATTTCAAACAAGTTGACTCAATGAATTCGTTAACCAAACGAAATATATAGTATAATGTAATTTCATCATTTCTTTTTTTAGAAATTGGTCTTTAAAGAAACAAGTACAAATGTTTATGCATCTGTGTGTGATTACGAGATTTTGTTGGAGATGAGAGGAAACAAATGTTTCGACTACAATATGTTTAATTTTATTTTATTGTCAGATACTCATATAACTACGAACGAAAGACAAAAAACAGATGGCCAAACGTCAAATTTTTATTTCACCCTTATTTTTCCACTAGAAATTGAATTACCAAAGTAATTCTCAAGATAAAATTATTTATAATTAATAAAACAGTTAAATACACTATTTGGAAATAGCAAAGATATAATGTTGGAATATTATAATGAAGTTCAAAGTTTAAAACGAATATTGCTCGAAAGTTGTGGTTGAATGGACTTTTCGCTGGTGTAAAATCCACATTAAACTTATTATGACCCTGTGTGGTTACAACCATTTAATTTGAACTCCGTTGTAAAATGTTTAATTGAWAGGTAAACTAATGAGTAATGTTTATTATATATTTTATTAAAACAATCATTTAGAATAATCGTTATTATCTTGTACGAGAAAAATATAACAAACCTATTAATTGTTTTAAAACTTTAAAATCATAAAAGGAGAAAAAAAATTTAAATTTGTTATCTCATAAATATATACATTATACAATTTTATATATATAAAAAAAAAAACTTATAACATGATACATATTTAAATGTATTTGCTTGATTTAAAATTTATTTTTGGCTAAAATATTCACTAAAATAAATAATCAAATGGGACAAAATTCGTCTGTTGGAGAAATTTATAGATAGGTCAAAATTATAAATTAAATGTGATAGAAGTTTAGATACTATTTATATGGTTATATAGCAAGGATTGAAATCACGAACATTTCGTATTGTTTCAGGTAGTTAGTAGTCACAATATATAAATGAAAATCAGTTTTCTCTATTTTAGAATTTCATATAATTAACAAAATTATACATGTTACACTACCTAGTTATTATTTTTAAACAAAATGTGTATTTAATATTAAACGAATAAATATTATTGTGTCATATATTTTATACTATAGACGTAAAAAATTTATAAATCTTTTGTCCAAGTAATACAATTAATATATTAAGTTTAAGAACTTAACACTATATAAATTATACTAATATATGAATTATTGAATTTAAAAGTAATTAAATTATCTCAATTTGATTGTGTACAGTATGAAATATTGTATCCTTGGGGCTTGGATGTATATCAAACAATTTATACAAAAAACAAAACATTGTCCGTTTTCGGAATTAAAAAAAACCGACTAGTCATGTATAACTACTCCACACCATTGTAAGTAAAAGTTGTAAGCAGAATTTTGAAGAATTACTTTTGCCTTATTTGGTTTATAAAAATTATTTCAATCCGTTCATTATTAACAAGATTATATAAATATAATTTGACGTAAGAATTCAAAAGTTATTTATTTTCATTAACAAAATGACAATGTGATAATGSAATTATATCCATACACAAATTGATTAAAACTTATGTTTAGTCAAGGTAATTTTAATTTATAAATTAAATAATATTTAAAAGTTTAGCTCATTTGAAATATTTTTTTGTAAACAATATAGATTTTATATATTAGGTTCATAAGCTTCGTTAATTCTCTAAAACAATTTTCTAAATAGTATGACTGAAATGCTGTATTAATATATAATTATAGATACTTTTGTAGAAGTTATATTATCTGCAATAGTTATTTTTGTTGTATATTTTGAACTTTTAACGAAAACCGAAAATCTGATGCGACAATCTGATTACATAGAAATCATTGAGTAATTATAGACACGTTCAGYGTCTAAACTTATTGCAATCGATCGAAATTCACATATCAGAATAGACAGAATAGTGGCGTCACTTTGTATTATATACATATACATATATATAAACTTTATTAATATGATTTAATATGAATATCTCTAATTATTGTCAAATAAAATATGCCATAATCACATCGGCAGCGAGTTAAGAGTATTTCAATCAAATTCTATTTTGCTAACCAAAAAAATAATTTCTCATCGCCAACCAAATGGGGAAACAGAAGAAACTATACATAATTACTACATTATTTTAGTTAATCTCATTGACGATTTTATTATGCCTTCGTATTTCAGAAAAGGATCTAATAGCTCTTATATTATAAATATTATAATACACTATTATTACACCATCAACCAAAGATCGRCGGATTTGAAGACCMTTTCAATTCAATTCGTATCATTTTTAGTAGCTTTAACTTASTTCAGTGTTGACAGCAATGTGGGTGTATACCCTTTCAGGAAAATATTGAAATAATTTACTATCAAATACTATGTTACATTGACAAAAACGTAAGCTACTTTGGAGGAATGTTGAACTAAAATTGACACTTGTCAATTCTAATTATATAAATAGTAATATGTTTAAAAACATATCAACGAAAACAAAAATATATAAATAGATTGTGATCTCAAACGTAAGAAGCATTTGTTTTATTTAAACGTTAGATATTTATGTAATACTGTTAATATAAATAAGAAATAAGATAATTTAATTTAAGTTATAAAATAAAATATGATTTATATAAAATTATTGTGTTTAAGAATCATTAAGCCTCATTCTGCTATTCTATATGACATAGAATAGTATATAGATATAGACTATATCTGAAAATACTGTTTTGAAATATTAAGCTTAATGAACGAAAAATAATGTTTTAAATTTTATTTTTTATATTTTTAAACGTATTCTTTTAAAGTCAACAAAGTGGCAATATTTACTGTAAATTCTGCATTATTTAATGACAAAAATACAAATACAAACAAACTAACAGACCACCTGCAGAGAATTATTTCAAGTTGACATGTAAATATATTTATCAATATACATAGTAGCTGTGTTTTAAAATAAATAAAAGTACGTACCTTGGCAGAGTTCGACGAGTACGGTTCGTCAAACATGGACCACAGCTGGGGCTTGAACCGCTGCCACCAAGTGAGTCTACCCTGAAAGAAAGCCTCCTCGAAACCGAATTTCCGGGCCATTTCTTCGTCACTAGGCTTCTCCGTATCCAAGTCTAGCMGGTCCAGAACTGCTAGTGTTTCTTGCGTATCCCTGTGCTATAAACAGAAATTTCAAAAAAAACAATGCATGAGTACAACAAGTCTAATAATTTTAACAATTTAATTGCAGATAACATAACAACATATTATTACTAAAAATATAATTAAAGACTAAAGGAAATTAATCGAACTATAATGTCACCTTAACGAAAAAATATTAGAAAAAACGATCATTTTGGAAACATATGTTTAAAAATGTAATATGTACACATAATAATTATTCGGGGAATAAAATATCGGGGAAGTTATCTGATTTTTACATTAAATTTTAAGTCAAACTATTCAAACACTTCAATAGTTTAAGTTAGGTTGACTTTGTCCGTAAACAATTAACACACATAAACTTCGGCACATTTTGGGCGTACTAGGTTTTACTAAGCTTTAACCCTAATTTCAGTGTTCATCAACGAATCGGTGTCGGTGTTCCTATAGCTGTGTGAATGTGAATTAATTCTACTGTGGTAGTTATATTTGATGAAACTATGTTCTGTTTCATTGAAAGTTACCACTTAATTTGTACCTATTTTAAAGTAATACAACAATCACCCAGTAAACGTTCAATTAAACGACAATTTTGAATGCATTTTCTTTATTGTGTTAAAATGGAACTGATTTTTTTTATTGAACAGCCTGCATTCTCGAAATCCTAGTATCTTCATGTTGTGATAATCCACGTATAGTGGATGAAAAATTGTTTTCGTTTTATTGCGTTTTCATTTTGATTTCRTGTAAACTCAACCTGCTAGTCGGATGGAAARAAAAAACTAAATTGCACCCGTTTTCTCGGTATCCGTTCGGAAACCAAGCATGTCGGTTGCAATGCACCCCAAACCCTCTTTACCATTGGATCACGTGAGCAGAATACTTAAACGGAATACACACGACCCAAAATCGTGGAACAACGTGCAGATTTTGATCCTTGGTCTTGATCGTGCACTCTTTGAAATTAATAACAATTGAGTCAAAGTGTTTTCCAGGGAAATATTTGATTTTTCACCCATTTTATTGCACACCATTTGATAAATAATACACGGTTTATTACATCACACAAAAGCAAAAAAAATTTTATTTGAAAAAACTCTGTAAGCTCGATATATAATGATATTTCATGGACGYAACAACCAATAATACGTTATAAATTATATGTAATGTATGTATACATTAAAAATATGCATGCTTCATGATAGCTTCATGAGTCCTAAACAAATTGATAGTCTACTCCCTAACAAATTTTGTTGSTGTCAAAAATTCTCTAGTGAATCGAATAATTATATTAATTTAGTTTTTTTCACCAACTTTCATTGATGGATGTTGGTTATTTGATTCTTATGTTAAGATAAATAAATACTGATTATAATTAAATTTTAAAATAATATGGAACACTCCAACTGTAATATTAATAGCATGTAAATAATATGATATTTACATGTATATATGAATACACTTATATGCTTGAGATTTTCCAACGTCCAAATTATATAGATCTACATAGAGTGCATCAAATATATTTTAGGAATTATTATTCCGGAGATTGTCTTTTTTTAGGATTATTCCCAGAGATATTTCATGAACATTTTTATTCCAATTATTGTAGTTAACTGATCAATAATATTATTTAATCTTACAAGAAAATTTAATTTTTAATTATATAACCATTTTTATATCCATAATCTTTACGTACATTTATAATTCATAATCATATTCCAAAACTTTTTCGTTAGTCTTGGTTAAAAACTTAAAACTTTACATTCATAAAAACTGTAAGTTTATATTTCAAAACAACGCTATAAAAGATTCATTACCAAAATGAAAAAAAGAGTACACAGCTAAAATATAGAAACTGAATATCAGGCACTCGTTTGAATTCACTAAGTTGTTATTATTATTTTAAATTTAAAGGAAAACTACATATTTGACACATGTATATAAATATTTAGTCAGTATACAATTTCTTATTTACATTTTTAAAAAATTTCAGTATTTTTACCAGTTTGAATTAGATAGATATTATATTTTAATAGCTGGTGRACCGCAGTTCAGTTTTAATTTACAATATTGGACGATTTAGGAAGAAAAAAATGTTCACGAAAGACGGTCAAACAAATAATTAAAATATAATTTATCAAGAGCGAACGAAGAACAAAATTACATATTAAGAAAATGTACACTATCCTGAAGACTATTAACTTAAATCTATACACATTATCTATTTTATATTATATCGGAGATTTAAAAAAAATATCGTTATGAAGTAAAATTATAAGATAAGGTCAAATTATAGTTATTATTATTATTATTATATGGAACAGGTTGGYGACTACTATGGCCATTGGGCATAAATTATTACAATTTACAAAACAATACAATACATTACTTAATACAGATATTAAATTAAATGTATACAATTACAAATTAGTTAATAACAATAGTTAGGTTATATAAGACAAATGAGATAATATAAAATTACATAAAGAAGTAACAATGTATACATAATTTGAAGAAGTATAGTACATGGGGGTATGCGAAGTTAATTGCTATATATTTGACAGCTTTGTTGTTGAAAAGAAATTGACAAAACTTGGTGATATCGGAAGGTTCAGGCTTAGAGACTCMGTAAGGTGATTCGATATTTGTATCATTCCTTTCTCCAAGCTATACACATCACACTCCAAGAGTATGTGTTGAACGGTGAGGACAACCCCACAGCATGTGCACGGGCATGTTAGTTTGACAGCCTTGCGGCTTGTTTGTTTCTCTCAATGTTACAGTGACCAGGGATCCATGTATATTATATGTTTTTGCTGGAAGATTTTGCAGTGAAGTGTGCATTATGGATTTTCCTGAAGATGTCAAAGGGATTGTGTTGATTTTCTAGGATGGTTAGTGTAGATAGTGAATCGCTCTGTATTGTGAAGTTAATGAAGTCGATTCTAATACTATGTATTAAATGACTTTAAGATACTACAACCTAAGTGTACCTCCTACTGTACGCCGTCTCAAGCGTGGACGTCCACATGACCTTCTACGCTAATTTGTCTATTATTTTGTTTATTCTATCATTTATTAATTCTTAATAAATCTTAATTGTACATACCTATTCTGTATATAATAATATAATTAGTTCTAAGTTTATCAAACGTTGTTTAATTTCTATATTATCAATAATTACTATTCTGTAAATATTTTATGTTAACCTTTTTCAAAACGTCAAAATATTATATTCCTTTAGCCTTAAGTTTAGATGACCAATTTATTGTCAGGAAAACTTTATAAATAAAAAAAAAATAAAAAAAAAAATGACTAAGAATATCTAGAGATTCATCTGTATATATGGAAAATTTTTCTGACAGTATAATTTGGATTTGGATATCTTAGTGGGTGATAGAAATGCCATCCTGATATGGATGCGTCCGTTTATATATATAGGTTTGTGTGAAGGAAGGATTTTCCTTGAATAAGTTCTTAAATGTATTAGAGCTTTTTGATTTCTTAGGGAGAGTGTACAGATCGAAATTGATGTTAATTTTGAATAGCCAAGGTGGACATAGAGGGGTTTCATTTGGTACTATAATTTCAAGATCATATTATTTGTATATATTATTAAGCAGTTGTTTAGGGCGAGGTATTATGTCTGGTCATTCTGGCCGCTAGTTTGGACTTAGTTATTCCCAAYATTAGCTAACGAAGAGATACTGACTAATGAAAGGATGCTTTGAGTAGGACTGGAGAGGAAGGCACCGTCGAAGAGTCAAAGCCTGCGTTGTGGACTGGGTCTAATATTTCTAAATTGGCTAGTTTTTCCGTTGAGAAAAGAGARATGACATAATCGAGTTTAGTGAGGATGAAGGCTTTATGTATTTTCACGAGACTCTGAAACTAGGCTCCCTTTGAGGTATGAGCAATTTTTTTAAATTAAGTTGTGACTAGGAATACCTAGTCAGGATTTTAAGATTTGAGATATGAGGAATCCATGTGGTTTTAGCGTAAAAAATCACTCCTAGGATTTTGAATATTGGTAGGTTTTATTGTTTGGTCTTTGATTTTGGAACGTATGTTTTGAGGTTTCCTCTTTRAATYATTGAATATTAGAGGTTGGTTTTGGATGGGGAAAAGTGGAAGCCAGATGATTTCGACTAGGACATGAGTTTTGTAGTTGCCTTTGAATGGAGTCGGAGTTGGTACTGCGGCAGAAGATGGTGAAGTAATTTGCATATAAAAGAGGTACGCAGAGAGATTTTATTTCTTGGGGATGTGATTTATTTCAATAATAAAAAGAGTGACGGAGATTTTGGAGCCTTGTGGAGCATTGTGGGACACCATTTTCTTGGCAAAATATATCGGAGTGCGTGTTAGAAGTTTTGACTTGAAAAGTTCGACAACTGAGGAAGTTGGTAATGAAGTCGAGCATATTAAATTTCCTTTGGAGATGATTTTATTGAGTCTGTTAAGTATTCAAGGTCTCTATGACGTGTCGTMCGCTTTAGTTATATCGAAGCTTATCATTCCAAGGTTTTATTTTTAATTTTCTGAAGTTTAAATCTCCTTTTTTATTGTTGGTAAGTTATTGAAGCTACTCCTATGGCGATGGAAGCAATTTTAAATTGAAGAAAGAAGATCGAAGTTTTCAAGGAACCATGTTAAACAACGGTTAATTATTTTCTCAAGTAATTTATATAAAAGAAATGGGACGCTAGTTTTCAGCTTAAAATTTATTTATGTTGGGCTTAATGTTATACATAACGTGTCTGTGTCTCCATGAATTAACAAAGGCATTATTTTCTCAGATCATGTTGTAAATAGTTAAGATATAGTTTTTAATATTATTTGGGAGTTTTTTATGACGTATTTCTGGGCTGTTGATATCTTTCATCGAAGTAGTCGCCGAAGGTGATAGTGCTGAAGACAATGGAGTAGGTGAATAAAGGGAGGTGGGGTAKTTAATGGTTATAGACTTATTATTTGTCTGACAAGATAGATATTAGATTATGTAGTAGCTGCATTTATAGTTTTCGTAATTTGTATTAAATTAGTTTTATTTGGAGTTTGGATGAAATCGGTCCTGTAATGACCAGTGAAAATGACGCTGTTCCCATMTTTTTATTGGTGCTCCTTATATAATAAGTTAGGTTAACTAATATAATTATATTACTCTTGTATTTGTGTACAGCGTGGATGTGCTATCGAGAGCTATAAAATGCGCACTGGCGATACGGTAAACATGTGCTACGTGGTAAGTTGTCAGTCACGTACTGTACAAATGTAGCATTAAGATTAAAATTCTAGTGTCTAACATAAAAATAAGTTCACATTTAACCGATTAGTGCTATAAAAATATACTAAAAAGACATTTCCTGTASCCTATAATATATTAGGCACAGAATGAATTCAATGTTATGTAATGAAATCATAAAAATACTAAAAAATGACCTTTATGATCTCGCTAGCATTTTTGTCAAAGTTTAGATTGCCACTATAATTAATTAAAATAAAACGAAAATATATTCATAATATCACCACTGTTCATCGATGGTTTATTTTTCCACATATTATAATGCATATGCCATATGGCATGTTTCTGGTGTTTCTCTGAATCATGTGAGATTGAGATGTTTCTAACTTCAAACTTCGAACTAGGTCAAACACGATGGATGTGCTATAATATTCAGAATTTATTGCATTTAATAGTCACACTATTCTTACTCTAGCCATAGTCCTGTGAAGCATGAATGTTATATTAAATTATTATATTATCATCTCAACAGCTATGTGCCTAGATTGCCTATCCAATACGCCGTGTAACCTTAATTTTTTTTTTATGAAAACAGTCGATTAGAACCTCATCATCTGACTTTGATAAAATACTGCTAAAAATATAGTAATCTATAATCAAAACATCAGCACTTATAGAGTAAAAATTATTTGTATTGTGTTATAAATAAATAAATAAATATAAATACACGTAATGTGTTTGATAAATTATATACAAATCGTTTATATGTTGTTTAGTTTTCTTTAAAGTTTGATTTTCCACAGTAAAATTTTTTTAGCTGATTTTTGGATTTCTGAATACTTGCTTAAATTTTATGAATTATAATTTTACAATTGTATTATTACTTAGCTGGTATGAYATTTTAARATGTTACGGAAATCAAAATTTTTATGAAGAAAAAAGGCAATATTATTATTCGATATATTAAATTATAAAAGGCTCTCAAAAATGATGCAGACCTCAAAAATTGTCCATAAGCATACAAAAACAAGACATCATTATCAAACCAATATAATATAAAAATACACCACGATTTTTATTTTTTTTGGCATASGTTTGTTTTTAATTTTATCAGGAATAATTTGTTTTTTTAATGATTAWAATACTATAATGATAATAATGCATACATTATTTTACACCTCATCATTCTGATTTGGCAGAAATACTTTTTCAGGATGAATTATTCACATAACGTTTGACTGTTATATAAATTATTGATCATAAAAATAAACAGATATTGGCAAGACCAACAATATTATTTGAAATTCTTTTTTAATAATACAAACTTTGAAGACGGTCTTACGTTAAAGTGAATAATTAAAAAAGTTTGTGAYTCTATTCTTGAGAAGTCGAGTTATTAATGTTTTTGATTAAAAATAAAATCACAATGATGAATATTGTTATTATTTGATGAGAACGATGCTTGACGTAACGAAATAACATAGCTACAACAGTGAATAATAATATGATTGACTGAGGAAAAAGAAATAGAAAATTGAAATCAAAAAAATTAAGCCAAAGTTTTAGTGTTCACTATCGATTGGTAACATATAACATTATGAGGGAAAAAGTAACATCGATGTGGAAAACTACATTCAGGGAAATAAAAATAATATTTAAAAAAAAAATAGGTAGGTAATAATAAACTGAGTAACTTTCATATTATTATCGAATAGAAGACGAAATTGTTATCAACTTTATGTYGGCTGCCTTCTCGAATAAATAAGTAAGTAATAAGTATGTAATATTTTAACTATTATAAAAATACTAAGAATTAACATAGCTATGATAGTTTCTAAAACATATTTTTACTAGAAATGGTATTAGTTGAAGTGATTCTTTCATTTCGTTATATTTTATCAATCATATAGTGTAATTTGTGCTAGAAAAAGATTCGAAATTCGTATATACACGATAGGTACGTATTACACATTATATTATACAATGGATTTACATATTATAATCTTTCGTGACAGATTTTTTTTAGTAAAGTAAATCACCAAATCAAAACGCTTCTCTTAATTATCTAAATAGGACCTATCCATAAGGATTCAATGTTTGAACCAAGATCAAATTATAGATCAGTGTAATATTAAAGTGATGTACTGCACATAATGATTTACTGTTCCTAAATCTATTACAATAGACTAATATTTTAATATAATACCAATTCAATAAAATCACACAATCATTAAATTATACAGGGTGATTTACCAAGTATGCTAATCTTTTTTTTTTTTAACAATGAAGTTATTTAAAATATGATTTTTGAATTTTAACTTAACCTCTGGTGATACAAACTTTTGTTTTTCAAATGAGAACCCCAATTTTTTCTGTATTTAGTGGAGAATTTTTCAGAGAATTTTGATGTCTTGAAACCAGAATTTGAACGAGTAGCTTTCTAGTTATTAAAATGTTTGTATTAAGGATTAGAGTTCTTAAAATTAATTTTACAAAAATATAAAATACATGTAAGATTAGATTTAGTATTTATGATACTGATGCTGGGTTGCATAAACGATTTTTATCTTTTATCGATCCGATAAATATGTTGCTATCG